GAACAATATACAAATAAGAAAAATTTTTAAATAATATTTTTTAAATATTTCCAGCACCAGCATTTTCTTGAAAGCCAAACTCTCCAGATTTATTAAATACCAATTCTAATCATACCCCCCCTACTGTATGCTGGTATGAACGTTCTGGGTTTGCAAGAATATTATCAAGATTAATTGGTGGATTATTCGTGCCGACTATTAAATGTTGACCTGTTCCTTTTCTTTGGTCTTGTCCAATTTTTTTTTGAATTGATTTCTGATTATACAAAGCAATGAAAAATAAAAAAATAATATATACGAAAAAATAACTAGAGAATCATTTAACTTACAATGTTTTAGTGAATTCTCTACTTCTTAGTATACCATTATCAAAACATTTATTATCTCCATCATGAACAGCGAGGTAAATGTCATCCAACCCCCCACTATAAAGTATTATTACTTAATCGTGTTTTTACTAATAAAGTCAATGTGAGAATTTATTTACCAAGTTTAACTGAAAGTTCTCCTTCCATTGCAGACATTTTTTTTGAAAAAATATACATGCAAAAATAACGTTATTGTTTACTCACCTTAAAAGCTGGAACCGCTTATTTTTATACTATTTATTCGCTAGATCTAAAAAACCTGTTAAAAGAGAAATTACACAATTAGTAATTATGTTACTCTAACACAATCTAGATCCTGCTACATAAAGCAACTCCGCTCAGTCATAGGTTCTAAACACTGAACGTATTTTGCCATTTTTCTGGTGAAATTAAACTCTTAGATTCAACGATCACTTAAGGAAGGTTTAGATCTGACGATCTTGGGAGATGGCAGAGATTCGAAGTCCCTGTAACATATGAATTTGGATAAAACTACTGATAAAGAACGTTATACTTATTACCCTTATAACTTTTTAAGTCCTATTCTTATCGCGGGATCTTATATAATAAGAAAATGGTCTAGATATAATTCATAATATTCATTATAAATCAAAAAATCGACTGTGAGAAATGATTCTGCAAAAGAGTGTCACAAAACCTTATATTTAATTTTGTGCGACTTGTTGAAGTACTGTTTAGAATAGGCGAAATATAAGATCCGTTATGCTAAATTTGTAATACAAATGTTCATTGGATTTTAAATATTCAGTCTAAAAAAATCGTGATCAAACTTGTGCCATACATACCCATTGTGTTAAAATAAAGCATATATGTTTGCAGATATCAGTGTATTACTGTATGATTAACATTCTTCTTAATGTAGTAATGAACTCAATTGAGTGCACAAACCCGATTGCATATCTGCAGGGTAAACTTGAATGATAATGATTTCAGTTATTTTTATATATATTACAAAGAGTCCAACATGTGTATTTCCCGACAACACAAAAATGAATTGCGATATTTATTAGTATATAGTTAATAAAATCTGTTAGGTCTATAAGAGTCATATAATCACCAAATGTACTAATAAGTCTATTAAA